TCTTTCGACTTCTGTCTGTACGAATACGTACCTGACCTTACTGTGTGAGCTGCACTCTCTGCCCCGATTAAAAAAAAAAAAAAAAAAAGGTGACACAAATACAAAATATTCAATCATTTGCCCCGCTATCGGCTTTTGGCCTATTATTATTTTTTGGTGTTTTTGGCACTTTTGGATCTGGAAACATCCATGACCCATCCCGCCGCTTGATTCTTAGACCGACGCTACTTATCTCCTCGGTCCTTATTACGTCCCTCCCGTGTGCAGACTGACAGACGGCACTCTCAAAGCTTCCATCTTCGTCTGAACCTCCATCTTTCAACCAACCATACGGAACACGCAAGCATATCTGCCCAGCCCAGAAAAACGCAGTACATCCCGCAGCAAGAAACCGGAGTTTGCGCGCACCTTCTCCAATTTCGGGCCGCCCCTCATTCTGCACCGACAGCAGACCGTTTTCCTTCACATCCTCCTCTTCGCCCCCCTTCACAACGTAAACCTCGCTTCCGACATCACACTTCTCCGCCCCCCGCCTTCCGCCTTCCACCAACCTACCTCCAGCTTACTTTACCCCACCATGAGCAACAAACAGCCAAACCTCTTCGCCTACCCGTCGGTTGACGAACTCGCGCCCGCCCTGCGATCCTACGTCATCCAAGCACAAAATGCAGGTCTGAATCGTCACGGTGCCTTCAAGGTCGCCGTCTCTGGCGGCTCTCTGCCCAAGACTTTGGCCCAGGCACTGCTCACACCCTCCACCGGCCCCGAAGACCAGGTTCACTTTGGAAAGTGGGAAATCTTCTTCGCCGACGAGCGCGCCGTTCCCCTCGACCACGAGGACTCCAACTATGCTCTCCTCAAGAGCCAGCTGCTCGACAAGATCCCCGAGGACCTCGGTGCCCCGACCGTCCATCCCATTGACACCACCTACCTGAACGACACCCAGGAGCTGGCCGATCAGTACGAAAAGACTCTCGTCACCAGCTTTGCCAGCCGCGACAGCGTGCGTCTCCCCATCTTCGACTTGCTGCTCCTTGGCTCCGGTCCCGACGGACACACCTGCAGTCTGTTCCCCGGCCACGAACTGCTGCGCGAGACGACTGCCTGGGTTGCTCCCATCGAGGACTCCCCCAAACCCCCGCCCAAGCGCATCACTCTCACTCTCCCCGTCGTGAATCACGGCGTCAAGATTGCTTTTGTCGCCACTGGTGGCGGTAAGAAGGAGATCATGAAGAGGATTTTTGAGCACGGCGATGGACTTCCTTGCGCCCTGGTCAACGAGGGCGCCGGCGACCGCGTCAGCTGGTTCGTCGATAACGCCGCTGTCGAGGGCGTCAGCTTCCCCCGCCGTTCGTTCTTGTAAACACCAAGAACTACGGTGGGGAGAGAGGAGGCGGATAGATCTGATGATGTGGAGGACAATTGTGAGATAAAAAGAATAACCATTGCTCGTTCCAGATAGACAGAGACTCAACGAACGGCACATCTCTCAAAGGGATGGAAATTACGAAGGAAAAAAAGGACTGTACCGACAATCGCGACGACCTGGTGTCCGAGTCCCAAGTCTACCTCGTCTTGGGTTGCCCCGGAATTCTTTTCCCGACCCCTTTTCAGGATTTGCTATCTGTTCGCTGGGCCTCGAACTTTTGATATCCACTCACGTCAGACTTTATGATTTCACGATACAAAGGAACGAGACGAGAGACTTTGGGAGGGAAACTTTGCCAGACGGATCGGCGGCTACCAGTTTTTTTCAATCGCCGTGACGCACAAATGTCAGTAGATAGCTTGACAGGTCTCCTCTCCCACGAAGGAGAAGGGGACAAGCAAATGCAAAAAAGACATGTATCCCCATCCCATGAGTAATTGAAGTGTATAGTGATTTGATACCATCCCCAGTCCTCTCCCCATTCTCAAGCATGTGGGAGGGTGGTGGCGACCAGTGAGTGCCTTTGCGTTTTTGCCTTCGTTCCCTGTATCCCGTATGAGAGTCGTGCTTCTGCCTGCGTCTGTCTTGGTAATAGGACGCCACATTACCTCACCCCGCCGATGACGATCCATGTAGGGCTGAGGATATGGCTTTTTTCTCCAGTCATGCACTGCTGACGTGGGGGAAGATGAGAGAGATGGGTAGAGATCTTCCCTTCAGGCCCTCACCGAGCCTGCCTACCCAAACTCTCGGGCCGAGTAAGGTATGTGAGAAGGAAAGCCAGTTCCTACCTTATGACGAGGAAGAAGCCCAAACCATCTACGTCCCCTCCGTCCTGTTCCTGTCGCCAATCAGAAGGCGTCTGTCTTACTGATTGGTGATGGAGTGGACAAAGGTCCAACAACGACGGACAATTACATGAGTACGCAGACAGCCTACTCAATAACAGGCTATGAGTTCGAATCACAGCATGAGAACTGAGAGATTTGGTCCCTGGGATGGTTTCTTTTTCGTCTCGAGTTTGAGACGATACGACCGACCCCCGTATTGTGCGTCGCCTTTTTTTGCCGGTCAAGGCGGTCATTTTGATGAACATTCGAGACTCGCACTAGATGTTTTCTTTCTACTCCGGATCTTGGAGACTGGAAATACCACGGAGAAGGGGTGGTATGAACTTACGCTTTTACTTTTGCCTGTGGTCTGGTGCCAATGCTCTTCTGATGATTTACGTACCTCTTGCTTGCCACTTCCTTGTCCATCCTTGATGAAAAGCGAGGGTCGGCACAATGGAGCCGAAATGGGAGGGCTGAGATGCCCGCCTAATCAATAGTGCGGACAAGAAGGGACACGTAGAGACGAGATAGCCCCTGAAACGACCGCGTATGCGTATGCTTGGAGATTCTTCTCGATGATCGTGATGGTCTGGGTACCTTAGTAGGCCCTGGGCAGTCTCTCGGCGGGCCTATCGTTGGAGGCGCGGAATTCACAGAACATCAGGTCAAGAGAATTGGCTGGAGAACTCGACCGCTCGTTGATCTTCTATGATGGTATCCGTTGTGTTTCTCGTTTTCCGGCTGGTGTTTCTTTTTACAGGAGTAAGCGTGTCGTTGACCTATCCCTATATCTTACACTTCCTGGTCCAATGGAAGAAGAACGCCACCACAGCACGTCCAAGATGCTTCATACTAGAAGTGGGATTGTATCTCTGGTGATGGGACTTCATCATACGTTTACAGTTATAATTATGTGTGTATGTGTAGTACCTAAACTTGAACCCGGCCCACAGAGATCGCCTTCCTCCATCTGTCGTGTATTCGCTTGCAATTATACAAGAGCCTCCGCGTTCCGCTGGGCAGTGGCCCGTCTAGTATATTGATGAATTGCTTACTTCCTCTTTGTGAGTAACTGAACTTCTTGACGATGTAAATCTCAGTAACGCCATGGCAAACTGTGTCTGGTTTCGGCCGGCTTCTCCATTGATGAGATACAGAGCAATCAAGCCTGCTAGTGCTCCCTTCCAAAGAAAGGCGCACCTCGAGCATCAATCTATTGGCTCACACGCAAGAGACGGGAAATACAACACAATGTATGGAGTCCGCGTCCGTCCCGGCTCATGCTATCTCTATAGGGGTTTTCGTTGGTGGGTAACATAAGGCTGTATCACCCGAGTTGTCCTAGAACGACTTATCAAGTAGAGGACAAAAAAAAAGCAAAAAAAGGATTCTAGCTAGTCGATGTCGGTTCATATTGCTTCGTCGAACGCAACGTGAAATCGTGGAACTGACTGCCTTCTGACCAGATGTCCCTCCGCAGCACATCCTGCTAGAGAACCTAGACCAGACGACCCCAGCACTCTTGACTTGATCACACACCAACCGTACTTGATCTACCTGAGGCGCAGGAAAGTCTCTGCTTTCATTTCAATCCGAAACTCTCGCTGACTCTTTGTTCGGCCCTTTCTGCTCTGCTCTATTCACAAATTGGAAAAGATAGTTTGCACTCTACCTCAGTCGTTCAGGATTGCTCTGGGTCTCTGACCTCCGAGACCAACTGCACGATACATCTTGCCGACTCGGAATGGGTCGAGATTGAAGTAGCTTCTAAATTTCTTCAACACTCTTTACGTGCTCATCCCTGATACAAACTCAAGCACTACTATCTAGAGACGACAATAACGTATGTGAGGCAAGTACCGCTCTCGTTCGCTCTTTGATTATCAAGGGGGCGCTGTATATCTATTACGGTAATGAGAAGCCTAGCTTTCTTATGAATCTCTTTAACAAGCTGCTCGAGAACAAACCCCTGCGGTGCTGGCTACCTTCTAAGAGGGATAGGAAATTGGGTTTTTATACTAGTTAAGGCAGGGAACGAGCCACTCAAACCTAAGCTACAGATCAGCCTACTCATCATTACATGAACCGAGAGCGTCTAAGGACCCTTTAAAGCAGCTGCCAGGCTCCTCCGCCTGAAGTATCCTCAAGAGCTCTTATATGTTGCAGGACTGATGTTTCTTTTGAAAGTCTATGCTGTTAGCGTGTAACATCTTGTTTGGCGGACAAATCTCCTGAGGGATTTGATAGACGTTGAAATCTAAATGATAAGATCGACCTTCTTTGTCCTCTTTCTCTCACTCGGAAAACATTAACGTGAGAATACACTATATACGGGGTCTCGGTATAAGAAGAGGAGAATCTCTGAAACTTCAGGACATCACCCTCCTGCTGGCTCGTTAGTCCAGGCATGTAAATAGTGAGCTGGCTAGAAACCAGCGGCATCATCGCCCTCCTGCTTCTCACCCCCACAAGAACCGTTCAAGAGAATCTGTCGGGTTTGCCTTCCCCGGATTGGATCCTAGATACCTCTGAATGAGGCTTGTACGTAGTACAAAGGTGTCTTCCGGCAGTTTTCTCTTCTTACACAATGCCTAACTAACTAGCTACCTTGCCCAGCCTGGTGACAATAGCATAGAGATTCAACAGTCATGTAAGTCACCTAGATATGGAGAGGAAGAGAGTATCATCGCAGACACACGTCATGATAAGATAATATACTTCGTATCCCCATTTCGTAACACCGCTTCCTACTGTTTCTCAGCCCCGGCCCCAAGTCACAGGTGTCTTCCTATAAGATCTATTCTTCACGCTGAAGTACATGGCCGATTGCTAGTTATAATGATCAGACCTTGGGTTCGAGGGTTCTGCATGAAATTCTTTATACAGGATACGGACGCGCTTACAAGCCGACCCATTCATTACCTTGCACAGAGGAGGTATGTCCAGCCCGTACGGATATAGTAAAACCTGTACCACTCCCTACAGTTTATACTACAGCAAACTCAACCCTCACGAGTACATATACTACACCAGGTCGCGGATCTACGCCTCGCCGCGAAGCTTCCACCTCAAGGGGGAAAGACCTCTCCACCAGCCCCTCTCCCTCACGCCCTCTACTTCTTCCCCAAAGCTTTCTCCTTAATAAAAAACGTGCTCACAAAAGCAAGCACAAGCAACGCCGCCATGGGCACCATGGCCCCCAACGTCGCAACCTGATAACTCGCCCTCACCTCCCCAGCGACAGCAGGCGGCAGCTCCCGTATATAATCCAAACTCTCCCGAACCCGCTCCTCCACCCGCCTCGCCTCGTCCCCGTCCCGCAGCCGCGCCGCCAGCTGCGTCCGCAGCACCTGCTGCAGCACAGACGAGCACACGCTAATCCCGATGCTCGACCCCAGGCTCCGGAACAGATACGAGCACGCCACCACGACCGCAGAGTCCCGGGACGCGGCGTTGGCGAGGAGCGCCACCAGCGTCGTCGTGATGCCCGCGCCGCCACCGAGCGCGAGCAGCGCCATGCCGCCTACCACGCCCGCCGAGGAGCGGAAGTACAGCGCCGCGACCGTGGGGGCTACCGCGACAACCATGAGGCCGTAGGCCAGCACCGTGAGGGTGTAATACCGCCCCTTCCGCTTCATAAAGTAGCCTGAGCTGACGCTCGCCGTGACGGAGGTGATCATGGCCGGCACGAGCGCCGCGCCCGCGAGGGTGGCCGAGGCGCCCTGCACGGCCTGGAAAAACAGCGGGATGAAGAAGATGGAGGCGATGTGGCCCGCGATGCCGAAGAAGTTTGCGAGGTAGCACGCGAACAGCGAGCGGTCAAAGATGATGTGGCCCGGCGCAAAGGGGTGCGATGCGACGCGCATCTCGACGTATACAAAGACGGAGAAGAGCACGGGCGTGGCGGCGAGCGCGGCGACGGTAAGCCGGCTAGACCACCCGTTGTTGGAGCCCGAATCCAGGCCTACGAGCAGGGCGACGACGGCAGCGACGAGCGTGGCGGCGCCGAGGAAGTCGATGCGCTTCACCTTCTCCCGCCAGTGGGCGTGGTCCGTCTTGGGTACGTCGAGGACAAAGTACACCGCCAAAAACGCGAGCACGCAGAGCGGGACCTGTCCCGTAAAAGACCAGCGCCAGCCGACCGAGTCGGCGAGGAGGCCGCCGAGGGGCGCGCCGGTGGAGGTGCCGGCGGCGAAGATGATGTTGAGGTACCCTTGCCAGACGCCGCGGTCGCGGAGCGGGACGATGTCGCTGAGCAGGATGGCGACGACGCTGTTCATGCCGCCGCCGCCGATGCCGGCTACGGCGCGGGCGACGCAGAGCTGTGTGAAGGACTGGGCCAGGCCGCAGCCCAGGGAGCCGAGGGCGAAGATTGTGTAGGCAAAGAGGAGGCATTCCTTGCGGCCGAAAATGTCGCTGAGTTTGCCATAGAGGGGTTGGAAGCTGGTTAAGGTGATGTAGTAGCTGTGGGTATCATGTTAGCACTTCACTCTTCATTGTCTTACATCAGACATGAAGCTGAATGGAATGGAATGACCGTCTCCGACGAGGAGGGGAGGGTGTGTCACTCACGATGTTGCAAGCCAGCTCGTATAATTTAGCGCATGAAGCTCGCTCCCGATCTTGGCGTACGTCGCCACGGTGAGCAGCTGGTCGACAGCGCAGAGATAGATCTAGAGAAACGCCAGTCAGTTAGTCCCTGCCGATTTCCTGAGCGGTCGACCTGGGCCGTTGCCCGGAGGCTCTACGCCGGGGAAGAGCCCCGGCTTTGGAGTGGGACCTACGCCGATGCCGACGGCCGGAAGAAGAAAGTGCATCTTCTTGGCCATCTCCGGGTTGCCGTCCCGATTTTCATCGGCCTCGGTGGCGGCAGTGGCGCCGTTCTGCTGAACGCCGGTGTCGACGGTGCCGTTGCCGTTGCCATTGGCCGCCTCCGAGTCGGAGCTGCGTAGTAGCGGCGACGTCTCCGTCGGAACGGAGGTGCCATTGACGGAGCCGGTCATCTTTGCGGGAATGAAGTAACGGCCGAAACTAGTGCTGCTGCTGCTGCTGCTGCTGCTGCTGTGCTTTGGGAACCTGATGGAAATTACTCGCGAGACTTCTGCTGTCTTTCCCCCCCTTTTGCCAAAAACGTAGAAATCGTTCTAGAAACAAGAAAAGACAATACCAATTGCCGGTCGTTTATGAAGTCAATTGATTTTCCCTATCTCTCCCCCGCTATCTCTCCGACTTTCGCATTGCGGCCGACGAGGATTGCTAATCTGCCTCCTGCATACAGTTAAGCTCCGTTTCTGTCGGGGTCCTCATCGGATGCTTGCCCGCCCGATAAGCCCAGTCCGTGGCTTATCGTTCGTGACGACACTCTGGCAGCGAAGCACGTGATCGCAAAAGTCTCTTCAAGAGTGGAGACTGAAGAGCATGTGGCTCAAATTGTCTCCCGTCCCGAGTCCTAAAAACAAGAGTCAAGACAGCAATAAAGATGTTGGTCTGAACCCTAGTTCGTGATTTGACTTGGACCCGGGTCGTACTGGAACAAAGACTTTCTGCAATCAAGTTCTCGATGCGAAACCTTCATTGACAACGGCCAACCAAAAAAACAAGAATGCGAAGACACGACCACCGGGGGGCCAGACTTTTGACGGAGCCAGGGGTGTTAGCCGGTGAGGTGGAAATGTAACGGCGTCGGAGATCAAATCGGCCTGGTGTGCTTGGCAACCCGTTCATCCGCTTCATTGCTCCCAAAACTCATAACCTCGTGGGGGGAAAACTCCTCACATCGCCCGGCCTTCGACCGAATCGCCCCGAGCTTCCCGGCTATCGATTGACCAGTCACCTCGTTAATCAAATCAATCGGCCGGTAAGAGTAAGCAGAACCAGAGCGAACAATGAACCACAGTATGAGTGTGTGACGAGGGTGCTCACCATGAGGTGGAATGGGGACGGGTCGAATCTCATCTTAAAAATCCTGCCGGTGTGAAACAAACCGTCGCGTCTCTGCTCCATCCTTCCACAAAGACAGCCCCAAAAATCATTTTAATGTTAATCTATATTTTCCGCAATGTGGGTTCCCGCGATAACGTAACCTGCATGCTGCGATGCGAACCATTCGATGGCGGGCTAGACTTGGACCAACAGGAACAAGGCCTTTGTCGTTGGTACGCTGCAATGCGTCCTTTTTCGTGCCAAGCCCGCGGACGTCGCTCCCCAATGAAACGGCCGCTTGTCCCATTCGAATCGACTCATCGAGTAGGTACCCAACAGCGCAGACGTACTTTGGAGCAGCGTCGTCCTCGATTCCCGTGTGCTGTACCACATCTCTGGATAGGTTCCAGTCGATGTCGTCTCACGGTGCAAGACCTCTCCTCACGAATGTAAGCTTTCAATACTCAGAGGTCAACGGATGGCAGAGTGGTACGCAGCGCGACCATGGCGCATCAGATCCCTTATGTCGTCCCAACTTTGTGCGTCTGCAAGGCGGGAGACTGGAGTTGACAATTTGTCGTCATCGCCCTCTGGCTTCCAAGGGGGGGCACAGGCCACAGGGGAAGCCCGGCGGAGGCACGGCATCCCTCGGTCTGAAGTGCTTGCAAGGTCATCCTAGAGGCAGGCGTGTGAGACTCGGATGACCGAGGAACTCAAAATGGCTCAAACCTGCTGTTCATGCGAGCGACAAGGGCATTGCGCTGTAATTCGTAGACACTCACGTAGGGTTCCCTCCGGGGCACTGCTCCGGTAATAAAGCCAGTTTTGCAGCCGCAGGATTACCTTTCGACACCAGGCGCAGCTCTCAGGGGGGGTTTGATCCGATGTTCATCAGACTTCGATTTCGCGTCGTCCTTGCTAAACAGATCCCTCGTCAGGGGGGACACAGGCAGCGCGGGCTCCTGGGCTTAGCGAGCCGCAAGGCACCCACATATCTCTGATGCCGGACGGGGATATGAACGTGAGATGTGACTCCGCCCTCGACCCAGCAGTCATAAGGCTCTGAAGTCTGGTTGGCTTCCCTGATGCAGATCGCTATATGGCAGGCTCAGGTCGCTACGACTTCCTGTGAATGGGCGTTCATGGCGGCGGCCCTAGAAACGCGAGCGGCGAACGCAGACCAGCTGTCAATCATCGTACACGGTCTAGAAGACACAATGGCCTAGTTGACAGATTGCAAGGCTAGAGCTCGAGATCGTAATAGTCTAATCGCGTGCGTCGCGCTATGTCTACGCACGGGCGAGACATCAGGCGGGTTTAACCTCTGCCACGTCGAGGGTGGCTGAACGGCGGCCTCTCTTCAGCTTCAACGAGACGATGCGTGGGCTGCGATTGGTGACTTTTGTGACCTCAGTTCTCCCTGCTTCGAGTCTGCAACGGTGCATTCCATGAGGTTCCACGTCCCGCTGGACAGGCCATGATGCTAGTAAGTTAATTTCGATTCCGCAAACAGGCGTTGCGGGCAGAAACGGCGGCCCGCCGGTAGTTTAGCTTGAGTACAATCCTCTATTTCTTTGAGGGGAATCGTTCGTGATGGCGCATATAATAGCATGGATGGGGAGGTAGCCACGGTAGCACAGGAGAAAATCGAGCGTTCTGGTAGCGATGCCGATACCGACTCGAGCCAAGTGCGAAACCAGGTGCATGTCGCCTCAACACGCGGCATGGCGGCTGAGGCGCAGGTAGTGTGCCATCCATCACGAGGATCATGGAGGACGTATCTGTATACGCGCCGCAAACGATTTGTCGTACATACACAGTATACGCCGGGAGGAAGTATCGGATGAGGGAGATCGGATTCCTACCGTAGGGGGCCCTGTAGGCACCTCATTTTGGGTAGTCGGGTGGCCTCGCCATTTGGACTCTGTAGACAGCTGACGAACGAGGCCATGGTGTCATTTGGCGAACCCTTTAAAAGTTGAGAATGCAGGAGTGGGAAGGAGCCCATCTTGTAATACAGTCAACCCGCAACAAGACGCATTCTCGGTCATTGGGATGTGCAATCCGTAGTGATTAAACGCGGGTCTGGGTCGAACGAATACTGGCAGCACCCTCCATCAGCGGGCTGTTTCAGCCTAGGTACCAATAATCGAGATGGGAATTGAGGACGAGTGGTCATTGGTGACGGAGTGGGCAGGGGTGGTGGTCGAGTGAGTTGATGGAGGCACGCCTGTCTTGTCCTCTGATTAATGTCTCGAAGCTGCCGCGACCGAGGCATGCAGGATAAGATTAAAGATGGGATTGATTCAGGAGCCGCATGCGCGTGGAAGCGAAAGCCAGTGGGCTTTTTGGTTGCGTGAATGCGGACTCTAATCTGCGGCAGACTCTATTCGCGCGAAAGGACGGATGCGTTCGGGAAGAGGTTGATTGTGATGAAAGAGTGGCTGGCTGTTGTGTTGCTGAGTGATTCGTAGCTGTAGACTCGGTTGTATAGACTCGTGGTAGTGGTACGTAGTAGTGTACGGAGTAGTGATGGAGAGAAAGCACAGCCCGGAAGGTGTATGGGAGGGATTGACATTGACAGCTGAAGCCTGAAGAGATGGCCCCGTCTCGGCCTCCGTTGCCCGTGGGTTGAGTTAGGTTGATGATGCAGGTGCCGACGGTGGTGGGCTGGCGAGGTGGTGAGGTGGTTAGGTGAGCTGTCAAAGTCGATTCCCATAGTGAGATTGGTGGTGGGGTACATGGGGACGTGTCAAGACATCTGCGAGCCGCCACTCCACCAGCCCCAGCCGGCCAAGCAGTGCTGCCAGTGTACGGAGTGTACTGCGGTAGTGAGTGCACGCACAAGCCAGCCCCCAAAGACAAACCCAGCCCCGAACAACCCCGGCAAGTTGTTGTTCTTGTTCCTGAATCCTGCTTGCAATGCCTGCTTTCATTGCAGGGCTGTCGATGCTTGCTGGGACGCTGAGGAGGGTCGCAACTGCCAATTGCTCCGCACTTTTGGGATGGGAGGGGCCGGATCCAGTCTGACGGAGCCAATGACGGACTTTGTAGTGCCACGCTGCCGCAGTCGTCCAGGCAGGCAGGCACGCTAGCAAAAGTAAACTAGTGCCTTTCGTCGCGAAGTAAATGGAAGGCTTGCGATGCTTTACCACCTGAGGAGGTAACGCAAGTACCTTTTGGCTGCTGACAACGCACGCAAGGTACCTCACCCGGCATGTCTTCCGTCCAATTATTGAGGTGACCTTTGGTGCTTACCTTAGTAATGGAAAGGTACCTTAGGTAGGCAGATACCGTGGTAGACACGCACGCATGTTAGGCACGCCGCGTATCCGTACCCCTTGGTACTAACGCATCTGAGGTCCAGTGCCCTTTTTGCATTGCTGATTAGGTGGGCAATCCACAAGGTACTTTTCACCTTAAACATTTCGATGACATCCTTGCCAATCCCATCCCAACTTTCCCAAGTTCCCAACCACAGAGAGAGGGAAGAAAAGGTCAATGTTCAGACACCCGGCCCCGTCGCAGGGTTCTCCGTGGCTGCCAGCTTTAAACTTGACGCCGAACTCACACCCCCTCCCCCCTCTACGCAACTCACTAAGTACCTTACCACCTCACCTATTACCCTGTACTCCGTATCCTCTCTTCCGTCTCCCATCTCTTCCGGTGTCATTCACTCATTGTTCTGCCTCTGCCACCCCGTCAAGTTACATTCTTATCCAACCAACTCCTGGACACACCTCTCAAGTTTCTTCTTTCTCCTTACCAAGGTACTCCTTATCCTACAGGCATATGCTGCGGTCCTCGTCGCGGAATCCTCGTCTACTCCTCCCTACTCCTCAATTCTCAAGACCCTTGATGCTTGTTTCTCCTAGCATCGCAACACTACGGCACTGAAAATACTCAACGTCGTGGCAAAGGCAACCCCCCCCCCCTCGAACTTCATCGCTCCAATCAACCTGTCGCCATCCCTCCTTCGTCCCACGTTCTCGAGTCCCACCAGCCCTCCGTGGCCAGCTTCCGGTGCCTCGATCCCCCCTGGCCCTACCTCCTTGGTGATTTCCTCCAGCCAGCCGATTGGTGAGAGGCTAAGCAGACAAAAAAAACTACATCCGCAGTCAAGCCAAAGAGGAGAGAGGCAAGGTAGCAAAGGGGAAGGGGTAACGGAGTACGCAGTACGCAGTACGGATACTGCGCCGTCATCCCAATTATAGGGTAACCCACCGCCATCTGGGGGCCCTCGTTCAAAATGGACTTCCTCCGTTCTCACAGTCGCAAGGGAAGATCCCGCTTCTCAAAAGCCCTACCCACCCCTCCGTCTCCAAAGGCCGAGCTTCTTCCCATCTCTAAGCAACTCCCTTCGATACCTCCCGTTCCTCCCCTTCCGTCGAAGAAGACGAAGACACTCGCCATGTCAGACAAACCGCTTCCACCACCGCAACCTCTCAACCAGTCTCTCCCTCCCCTCCCTCCTCTCGAGACAAAAGCGTTGCCCCCGGTACATATACCTCGCCGCCCAGTTGCAAAGCAAGCACCACCGCCCTCCGCCCCGGCGAACCAGCAGAAGCAGCAAGAACAGTATTCTCCCGAGGACGAAAGGAATTCCATCGGCAGCCTGCTCTCGGCCTATTCAAGAAGCTCAGGGGAGTCCCTCATCATGTCGCCGGATGGAAGCGCAAGTCAGAGAGACTCGAGCCAGGCATATACCTCTGAACAGTATGGGACAAGGGAAAACAAGATTTTGACGCCGACTTCGTTGTCATCCGGTGACAATGACCACTACGGCGCACAAAAGTTCACATCCAACAAGGGCCTACCGCCTCACCCGGCCTACTATAATGAGCAGGCTGGCGCCGCTTCGGTCAACTCGACACCCGCACCGACTGCTGGCAGCCCGACAAGCTATGTATCAGCAGCATCGCCTCAGCAACAACAGCGACCACTATGGAGGAGGAGATCCGTAAAATCTGATCGTAATATAGAGGTCCCAGATCTACACCTCACAGTCAGCCACGGGTCAACCGCTGCTTCTTCTCAACCAAATACCGCGCAATCCTCATACACAGCAACTCCTCCTCCGGCCCAACAGCAACAATTCCCCCCTCGCAGCACTTCCAATCTTCCCGGCAGAAATATTCGTCCAGTACCCTCTCAAAGTCAAGCGGCTCAAACGAACAACATGGGCCAGGAGGTCTCGCGGTTGAAGGAGAAAGTACATCATTTGCGCGATGATCAGAATGGCGCAAATGTAGGAACCTCTCACAGCGACACAGCGCTCTCGCCAACCCAACGCCTGCCGACTCCTGACTATGAGAAGGAGGATGTCAAAACGCCCGTTGTCGAAACAATCGTCTCGCCCGTCTCACCCGCTTCCTCTCCAGAGCCTGGCCGCGAGCAATCGAACGAGTCCAAGCCTCCTATTCCCCGCAAGGCGGTCACGGCGCGCAACTTACACAACGCTCAGAGCTTGCCTCAGATGCGCGCGGATGGACCTGTCACCAGCAGCGAGGCTCCCCCGACAACCACAAGAGACTTTGCCGTCAGCCCCGTTAGTCCCGATCCTCAGAACCAGCTGCCGCCTCGGGCCGCCCCCAATAAGCAGCAGCAGCAGCAGCAGCGGGAGTATGTGCCCTATGCGCCGGCACCCGGATTCGCGCAGGGGGATATGCGACCTGCCTCGAGAGATCAGCGCCCCAACCAAGAACCCGTCGAGTACCGCGAGCTCAAGGTCAAGGACCTGCCGCCTGCCGACCCTCGCGCGTCGTTCTTCCCCATGCAGGGTTCCGAGCCTCCCAGCCCCGGCATGATCTACAAGGCTCTGCCGTTGAAGGAGAGCATGCTCGACTGCTACGTCAAGCACCGCACCATGGACCGAACTCGCAACCGCAACTACGCCCTCACCTGCCAGACGTGCGGCAAGGCCGATACCGAGGACCGTTACAAGTGCCAGTTCTGCTACGTACGCATGTGCGCTTCCTGCCTGCAAATCTTCAACAGCAACCGCAGAGACCTCCGCAAGCTTATGGCTCACTTGGAGGGCAACCCCCAGAGCGGTCACATCGAGGCCTCCGAGAAAGAGGAGCAGCGTACAGAGGCTCAACGACAACAACAGAACCAGCAATCAGTCACAGCCTAATTGCTTTCAAATTCACACTTTTCCGATTCTTTTCTTGTTTGCTTGGCATAGGGAAATCACATGGCTATTTCACTTCCAAGCGGTTCCTCAACGTTTTCCCCGGCGGCCGGACTTTCACGGATTTTCGTCAATAGGGAAAAAGATCAACTTTTTGCATTGCGGGATTAGATAGAGAGAGGTCGATTGGTTGATACCGCTTCTCACCCCCAAGATACCAATGTTTGTGTATAGGAAGTCGTGGCCCCCAGGAAATAGGGGGGAAAGGGTCACACGCACATTTTTTCTTGTTTGTTGGAAGGGATTACTACTACTACCACTTGCTTGATGCAAGCTCTGAGCATACGAAAACGAAGCTTCATAACGAGAAAGGACGCAATACAGGCAAATGGGAAAAGACAGGTTAACTCCAGATTTTGGAAGGGTGGGCTCTCAGAGAGCCGGAATTAAAACCCGACTACTTTTTCAAAAACAGAAAATTGAAACTAAATATCTCAAAGCTCGTATTCGCGGTGAACTGTGTGGTGCTACATACGTCCCATATTCCCGGGACACCAGACACTAACAAGAAGCGCAACACCTCGTGTACCAAGCAAGAGCGCGCGGGAACTGTTTCCTCGACTCGCCCATCTGCAATTGTGTGTCGGGGCACGACGTCCAGCAAAGAAAATCAGGCACGTCGAGTTATGTATCGGATGCACCGGAAATTGCTGCATCGCGTCGGCGGACACGCGAGGGATGCACGAAGTACGGAGTATCCATACGGACTGGTAGGGAGGGGTCTCATCGGAGAAAAAAAAAAAAGAAGGAAAAAAAGACACCAGCTGAGATTCGCGAACAGACGGGGTGCCACTGTTCGGCTCAGCCCGCCGACGTTGGAGTGGAGTTGATCAAAGCACCGGCGCTAGAAGACTCCTGGAGTCCTGTAGGGCAGCGGGCAGACCAGCTCGTTACTCCAATACCTTTATCTTCGCCTAGTCTGACAATTAGAAGCAAGTACCATTATATCTTAGCGTAAACTCCCATCTGAACGTAATCCATCATCGGCCCCCTACCGCCGCCCGGGCCCCTGGCAACCCCCACACCGCAAAGAAACCGTACGGCGCGGCCCCTGACGTCGAATATCAACATCAACATCGCGAACCCGGCGGCCCTTTGGCGAAGATACCCACCGAATTTGCCACGGCCCTCATCAATCTCACATTGGCGACTTTTTTCCTTACCCGCCAATCGACCGACAGAACGACCTATCGTAAAGCGCGGGGCCCCCGCAGAGACCTCAAAACCCTAGTCGCGACTCGCGCCGAGACCATCGAGTATCGGGAGAGAACCACCGACCACCCGAGCCGCATGATCACCATACACATCCCAGAGACCCCGGCGCAGTCATGTCCTCGTCACTAGCCCGCACCCGCTCCCTGCGGAAGCCTACGCAGGGCTCCTCGACCGATCTCCCCCCGACGACGACCACAACCTCAGTATCCTCCTCGGCTTCGATCACGGCAGCTAGAGGCCCCGCGAGCTCGACCACAGGAGCAGCAGCGCCATCGGCGTCCACGTCGCACCGCCCCGTCTCCCCGAGCAGACTCCCCGCGCCCCGCTCCCTCGCCGCAACACGCCCAACCACACGCACCGTCTCCGGCGCCAGCGTCGCGAGCAGTACAGCAGCGGCGGCGACCACCGCCTCCGAGGCACCCAAGAAGAAGAGGCCGAACCCCTTATCGTCGCTGCTAAGCCGGAGCTCCTCCACGCGTCAACCAGCGTCCGCGACAACATCGACATCGACAAGGCAGAGAGATGTGGCAGCGGGTGCTGGAGCAGGAGGAGGATCAGCTAGCTCGGGACCAACGAGCGCCCCTTTAAGCAGGACAAGCGCGCTCTCAGGCCTCACGAGGACGTCTTCGACGAGGGAACCAGGTCTGTCGCGGACACGATACCCCGCAAACGCCTCGACGAGCAATCTCAGTCTCGTCTCGTCATCCAATGCCGCAGCTGCTAGAGCCGGGGCTGGCTCTGGACCGTCGACACCGACGACAGCGAGACCGACTACCTCGGGCGGTCTACCATCCTCAAGACGCGCCGGCGCACCAGCGACGACATCGACAACAACAACAGCGGCTGCAGCGACAGGAAGCCCGACAAAGGGCCACGCGCGCGCAAGGAGCGTCGCGACCCTGAACAGCAGCACCGTCCTACGACCCCTGAGCCAGACATCGTCTACCGGAGCCGCTGCCCCACCGAGATCACGCCCGACGTCCCTATACGGCGCACCTCCCACGTCTTCCTACACAAACTCATCAGCATCCACGACCACGAGGCCTCGTCCACCCTCAGCAACAGATCGCCTCTCCTCGAAACCATCCGTATCCTCTCTCTCCTCCGCAACAACCACAACATCAACACGCACAGCCCGAGCAGGCAGCACAACAACAGCACCACCACGCCTATCCCTCAAACAACCTCACAAACCACCATCACAATCCCAACAAGCATCACAACCACCACATCTAGCCGCCCGCCAACAAGCCCAACAACGACACCCCTCCCCAACCTCACCACCCAGAACCACAAAACCAGTCCTCCGCCCAGCCTTCTCGACCTTACAACAGCACTACTCCCCCGCCAAATCCCTCGCCCCAAAGCCCCTGACAGCAACCTACCTCGCCGCCCCGTCCCCCTCAAAACTCCCCGCCAACATCGCCCTCACGGCCGAGACGGCCCGCCTCCAAACAGAGCTCCTCCAGCTCCACCTCCTCCACCGCGACCTGCCGCAGGTCACGTCCCAATGGCACGCCACCGCCCGCTCCAAACTCGCCGCGCGCCACGCCGACCTCGCCGCCTCCGCAAGGGGCCTCGCGACCCTCGAATCCGACGCCGCGGAGCACCGTAACATCGCAGCGCTAAGAAATTGGGGAGCGACTCCATCCACTGGCGGCAAGACATCGTTCCTACCGCTGGAAGACCGCATCCAGCGCCTAGACGCCCTCCTCACATCCCTCTGGTCCCTCGACAGCCCAGGCGGAAAACACCACCGTCTCGTCCGCGCCTTTGAGCGCTGGGCCTCTTCCCTCGCCGACCTCGAAGCCGCCCGCGCCCGCGCGGAAGACGGCGCCGACCCCTCCGCCCTCCTAGACGACAACGCCGACGTCCGCTTCGGCGGCGGCCTCGACGCGCGCTGGAAAGACGATGCCGCGGCGCTGGTGAGGCGTCTCGAGGGGTGGGATGCGCAGCTTAGGGAGCTAGAGTATCGCGGCGATGATGACGAGGACGTGGCTGCTGGTGCTGGCACTGATACTACTACGCAAGCGTCGAGCTTGAAGCGCATGCTGGACGGGTGCGCCAGTCTCGTCAAAGACATGCTCGACGAGCTGGCCGTCATGGAAGACATTGAGGCCGCGGCGGTGGAGAGAGAGAACGAGTGGATCAAGAGGATGAATAGGGAGGGAGACGACGGCCGCGGCAGAGATACCCAGAGAGCCGGTGCCATTTGGAGAGTGATTTGAGGAAACAGGCTCTGGTTTCACTGATCCTGTATAAACAAACACTCGTCACATACTCAGGCCAGCAGGCCAGCAAGCAATCGTTGTCGGAGAGGTATGCTTCAAATTCACCAACGTCAATGCTTGTTTTGATACTCTCTCAACACAACTTCCGCTTTCCGCTGTCATCCATCACTTCCGTTGTCGGTAATCGATTCATCGTCCCCTATGACGATACTTTCCACACCCAATTACCTAATTGTACAAATCAAAAGTTGTTTTGTTCTCACTACAACCTCCGGTGCTTTGCAATTTCGGCCCGCATACACCCTTCCCACCCTTGTGTAAACCATCAAATCAATGCTTCAAGCCAGGTCAAGTCGCCGCCCATGGCGAACTTCCACCATGCAACTCCTACAACGATGGCAGCCGTGCTCGTGGCCAGCATCCTGCGGACAAAAGTCAACCTGTCAGATATTGTGAGGAATAATGACAAACAAAGGAAAAGGTAATAAGAAGAACACGAGTAACCGATCCACTGTGCAATGCGAACCGGAATAGAGAGATGACCTTACGCCTTTCTCTTGCTGCCGAATAACCGGCTAAACAGTCCACCGATCCAGTCTACGAATAATACGCGGAAGAAGGCCTGGAGCCAGCCTCCTTTGCTGTCTGTGACGCTGTGTATCGAGGAAGGGGTTCCAGGACGCTCGGTCGATGCTGGCCCGCGCTTCTTGAGCTGGCCCTTGTGTCCGCCATCGCGGCTGGAGGACGACGCCTCATCACCGGGGCTCGAAGCAGAAGCCCTTGCCAGTTCGCCGTTCTGACTGGCGCTGGAGCTTGCTCTGTCTTGAGGCGGTTCGACGCGGATGGCAGGGCTATCAGGCTCGGCGGGGCGAGTCCTAGGAGACAAATCCCTCGAGTGCTTGCCGTTGGACTGGCCGTTGGCAGCAGGTGAATCTGAGCTTGATGACTCTGAGCTTTTCCTGGACTTAGAGCCCTTCATAACGACTCCCTCATCATCGTCACTCCCGGGCGATGTAAAAACATGCGGCGTTGGCCGTACCGCGGGGCTCGGAACTCTGATCAAGCCCTCATTCTCGCGATTGGCCTCTTCGGCATTCGGAGTCTCCTTATCCTCTTCGGCAATCGATCCCAGAGAAAGGAGCGATCTATCCGAGACCATGGAGCCATGCGACTTTCGTGGAAGCTCCAGCCTCTTGGTGGAACCCGGACTAGAGGGGCCTGACGAAAGGACAGCTTCATCGAAGTATTGATCAGCACTGGCTCGGCGTGTTCCATTTATGGGCGAGATAGGTGCGCCATAGAAAGCAGTTTGATCTTCGTTACGCCCAGTCTCAACCTTGCGCACGGCATCGATGATTCCGTCCCTGTTAGAGGGCCACCGCTCGAGGGTGGGATCGTTGAGGTCATACGTGTCGACATCATACTCCACAGTGCCATGATGATCGTAGTCCTTTGCAACTTCATCTTCATCATCGGCTGAAGGCTCGTAGGGTCCAAGAGCTTCGTGGGCGAACAAAGGTGCGGGGCAATCGTCTGAATCCTCTTCCTTAGGGTCCTAACATACTGTCAGTCATAGCTCTGCAGTTAATATTTGCCGCTTGTTTGGCTCGTACCTCATCAGCGTCCAGCTTCTGGGCAGAATCGGCAACCTCAGCCGCAGTGCTCGCAACTTGTTCAATCGGCGTCGAAGACAGACGCTTCCTCTCCTCGTCTTTGAGGTGCTCCACGCCCTTGGGGAGCGGTGCACGTCTAGACATGTCGACCTCGGCGTCAAGTTTCTCGGCGGTATCAGCGACCTCTGCGGCGGTGTCCGCAACTTGGCCAATCGGGGTCGACGAGAGTCTTTGCCGTTCCTCATCCTTGAGATGATCTTGAAGCTTTGTTTTCGGCTCAAGCTGGGCAGCAGTATGGTCTCTGGCAGCTTTTGAGGCGTCCACGTCTTCGGAAATTGAGGCGTCTTCACTTGTAGGTTGGCTGTCGCCGTTCACACCGTTGAGCTGCTTCAACTCTTGAGACGCAGGTGCTGTCAGGAGATTGTTGCGATTGCCAGATCCGTCGGTGACTATAGATTGCCTCGTGTTAGAAGTGCTTACTGGGAATGCCGTACTGCGCAACTCAGGAGGAGGCATACCTATAGCTGCAGTCTCGTTAAGAACCCACCAGTCTCCTAGACCAACACGGAACTTGTACTCGATCTGCGCGTTTGGCCGAACTTCAATGTTCTTGTAGAACGTGTGTTCTCCGCCCTTTTCGGTGGTGAATTCCATCTCCTGGGGCTCCCATTTTGGATTTGAGAAGGAGCCGGCGACGAAGATGGGAGGCTGCGTCCCGGGCTGCTTGTAGGTGATGGTTACAGAAACCATTGTCGACAACGGCCTCCGCGGCGAGGTAGGTTGAAGTTGGGAAGCTCAACTCTCGTCGTCACTCGGCCAACTCAATCACACGAAGAAGAGCGTTCGGAAAGGTGGGTTTTCTTCGTCAGCTGGCCTTCTATTACGGCTCAAGTCAGCACAGGCAAGATAAACCTTTCGGGAAGGAAAACTCGACGAAAATGGTAGAAAAGGAAGCCGTTCCCTTCCACAGCGAGGGTGGCGGGTTGAGATGGGCAACAACGCTGACGAATGCGGCTGTCTCTGGGCGATACCTTAAAATGCGGCGCTAGTTGTAGGGAGCAAGAAGGCGTCAAGGTGATGGGATTGACTTTTGATGAGAAAAAAAGAAATGGAAGAACACGAAAGGATGCGAGACAATTCTACGAGAGGAATTTGGAGTGTGGAGTCTCCGGATGAGTGTTTCATGCAACGACGCCAACGAGGAAGATTCGGGGCTTGCGTATTTTGTGCGAGTGAAACGGCTTTGAGGGAACGAGCTGGTTGGGGTTTGGAAGAGCACTTACCGCAGCAAGGTCGTACGGAGGCCGGAGGAGAGACGTAACGTGCAGATGCTGCGAGCTGAGTGAGGGGAGCTCAGATAGCAGAAAGGTCGAGAAGCCGATACCTTGTTCTGGGTGTGGTGTGTGGGAGGTGCAGCAGCTCAGAACAGGGAAGCTGCGGCACAGGAGGGGTTTATTGCATGATTATTCCGTATGTCGTATGTGCCATGTCAAAGGTTGGGATGTGCCGGCCGGAGAGGAAGGAGACTGGGAAGAGGTTGGGAATGGCGAGGTCATAGAGGAAGCTAATTGCTATCCAGGTAAGTTGAGGCAATGCACTTGCTCACTTTCAGCTTCCTTACTTGCCCGAGTTTGAATGCAATGAGGTTTGCAACTGGCGGCCGGGTACTTTGTTTGCCATGGCTCCTATCTTGACACGATGAGAAATAAGACCCGGGCTTATCAGCAATTGAGCTGGAGTGCACCATCTGTTTTGTATGACACATGGCAATTGTTGGTCCTTCAGTAGAAAGCTGTGCTGAGGTATGAGACGAGATTGCCGCTTCCTCTCTTTCACCAACATTACTTATCCCTTCCTCCCGTTTGATTCAAGTTTTGTTGGCGGTTTAGCTCCCGACACAACGCTCAATGCGCGACCTGAACCTCCCGCAAATCATTGCCCCAGCATAAAATAGCGGTTATCAGCACCGCAGTCAATGGCCACCCAGCTGCTCCATCTCAGCACCGGCATGCTTTGTGCGTCATCATCCCTGATGCATCCCGAGACCAGGGGAGTCGCTGGGACATGCCCATTGGCTGCACTTACTCCCGTTTCCAAAGTATCGGAGACTTTCGCACCGCACGAGCCATGCATCTCCACAGCCGCCGTGCTAAGCTGATAGTGGGTCCAGGTGGAACCAGAGGGAGGGCCTGGCCAGACCGGGACGACGACTTCAGACATTGAGCTAACAGCCACCTCCATCATGCCAAACAAGCTCCGTGGAATGGGTATTTCTCTGGCAATCAGCCGCAATACCATCTCGAATGTTTATTTATCAACGAAGTCGCTGCCGACGGAACCCACCTCGCGCAATTCGGATCAACACCGTAGGCCTTTTTCATAGCGCCACTGCCCTGAGATGCATATGCAGGCGTGATGGCTGAGGTGGTCGTGTGCGAAACCCCAAACTAGCGTCTCCTGTCCAAAGCCCAGACAAGTGAAGAGGGGCATATGTTGAAGAGGTTCCGAATGTCACCAAGCTCAGCGAGAGCAGGAACCAGCTCCCCATGTCTCAGTCATCTCAAAATCTATGAAAGCCAATAAGATAGCACTCAAGATGCTTGAGAAGCGTCCTTGGATGATTTCATACGCTCAATTGATGGCATCTCATCCAGCACCTTGAACTTTGACGCTTATATGCTGCTCGAAAAAGGTGAGAAGCTCAATCTCGATCGGAAATGGCGGGGCTTCCAATTCTCCCATCCTCAGCACTGGCCTATTTTCTGCCGAAAGCGGTGAGTATCTTGGCCAATGACGTGATCCCGCGATAAGTATCTCTTATCGTAGCTCTATGGCACTCTGTCACGGCGCTCGACATGTGGTTGCTGTGTGCCTTAGCGGCTGCTTCCAGAAAAATCAACCCAGAAAAAAAATATCGTCAACCAGAACTGCATGAATTGCCACGTCGCAACGGATCTAGTCTAATCCAGGAACCGTCGATGCGACTTTTGAGCGTTTGAGTTCTTTCTCGGCACCCACAATAACTCATTCACGACCCCGAAAACACCCCCATTCCCTGCGTTTCTCTGCTTTCACAGCCTCAACTATTCTCTCTAGCCCATCATGTCTGCCCCTCCTCAACTGATCCACATTAAGAGGAAGCGGGGCGATGAAGATGCTCCGGTCACCTACCTTCGTACGACCACTCTCCCTTTTTTACAATCAACGGACGGGCATACTAATAGGAGACAGAACTCGAACCGGGATCCAAACGACATCTAGCCGGCAGCAGCTGGGTCTACCAGAGGCGCCTCGCCAAAGCCAGCGCAAGATCCGCTGCCGCTGCCGCCGCAGCACAGCGCCCATCGCAACCCTCCATACCGGTCATCCAGACGTCGAAGCCAGGTGACGAGATCTCGAGCCCGCATCGCCCACCTCACGCGAGCAGCCATGCTCTTCCGACAGGAAAGGCAGCGGCAGCGGTGCCGTCGCCCCGGACCCAACTCGACGCACAGAAACCCCTACCGCAGACCGCCTCCGATCCCCAACGCCCTCAGAACCCCGCCACCGAGCCGAGACGATTCCACATGTCCAGGTCGGCCATGAGCTCGCCTGGAGGCAGCACGATACTCAAGGCCGGTGGTGTCTCCAAGCGGGGACGCTACGGGACCGCCGTTTTCGTGGAGCGAGGGAAGAAGAAGAGTGCACGCCGGGCCGCCACGGCGTCCGGTGGTACCACACCGACGACGATGACCACGGAGGATCTGCCCGTTGACGTCGAAATGAAGGAGGACCATAAGCCGGCGCCGAAGAAGCCCCTTGCCAAACGACCCCCTCCCTCACGAGCAGCCTCCGCGGCGACGACAGCGACGGAGACGCCTGGCGTTGAGCCACAGCGCAAGCCCATGCCCGGCGCAGCTCCCACGCAGGATTTGAGCAAGATCGCAGCCGACATGGACCAGTGGGTCCTCCATGAGATCGGACTGAACCTTAAGGCCATGGAGCAGCAGCAGCCGCCGCAGCAGCCGCGCTCCCCGTCCACCGTTGCGTCGCCTTCACGCTTCAAGCCCAAGGCGCCAGCCAAACGTTTTGCCGAGCGCCACCCGGAAATGGTCAAGAAGCTCAACGGCGGCGACGAAGCCATGACAGAGGCTAGCGACGAAGAGGACGAGAGCGACGACGACTACGTCATCGAGGTGTACGAGCTGGCGCCTTCGAAGCCGGTGCTGGCGGAAATTCCGCCCGAGCAAATCGGTGTGCTCAGATTCGATTCGCAAGAGGACTTGGAGCTGTTTTACGGTAACGAGGACGACGATTCGGACCTCGACGATGATGAAGATGAGAATGGTAAGTCTATGAAATGAACGAAGCTCTTTCTTCCAGCAGATAGCCGGGAGGCTTTACTGACATGAATGTGCGCGCACAGCTGAGAATCACTACACGGCGGACTACCCCGAAGACGAGGTCGATTCCGAGGACGAGTACGATCGCCACGCCTACTTGTTCCGCAACGCCAACGCTTCGGACGAGGAGGAATTTGACACCCGCGATCCGTACGAGGACGAGGACGACGATCTGTACGTCATGGAGGGCGATGAGCGGCGGGATGAGGACGACGTTTTTCAGGACAAGATTCGGCGTTACATTCGCCAGCACGGCGACATGTAAAACCGGGTGACCTGGGAATATATCGAGAATAATACCAAGAGGGTAGCGTCCAACATTCAAGGCACATGACACTGCACGAGTGCCCAAGTCAAGTCTTTTGGTCCGAGGAATTTTGTTGTGAGTGTATGTGGTGGTGTGCAATTGAAGTAGCCTATTTATCCAACCTTAAAGTGGATATAAGAAAAAGTGCTCTCTCCTTCACACAGAGGTAAATTCCTCGATTTATCCCAGAGACCCCTAAAATAGGATAATATCTCCGAACCCGGTTCCCATCCAGTACTCCAGCTGTAAGAAAGAAAGGAAAAAAGTACAGAATGTGCTGCATAAAAGAGCCTTTACTGATGCGAGACGCCGGGTTTCAATTCCGCTCCACGGGCTTGAAGATGATGCTGCATCCCAGATCTAGTAATGGAAGTTGAGAGTATTTGTTGTCTCTCTTGTGTGTGTGTGATGGGCTCCAGAACGCCAAGCAAAGTATGTGCCCCATGTGACGAAGAAGTTGTCGGAAAGAATGTGGCTAGAAAGAAAGACTTCTTCCCCAAGTGAGACTCCAAAGTCTCACTTACACGATCACGAGCTGCAGAATTGGCTCCCACTACATAATCGTGCACGCCCCGACGGTTCGACCCCGCCTCCTCCCGCCGTTGCCGCCCTCCTCCTCGTCGGCATGCAACATCTGCGCCTCCCTCGCCCTCCGTCTGCGCCGGCGGTGACCGGCGCCTGTGGTCCCGGCCTCCTCGCTCGCCTGCATGTAATCGGCCCACCGGTGCTCGAGGCGGTTGGCGGCGGCGAGGTCCCCGCGGAGCACGCGCTTCGTGTGCTCGTCGACGGTCATCTGGAACTTGTAGAAGCACTTGAGGCTAATGGCCTCGGCGGCGTAAGCGAACTTGCCAATCTCGGCCATGGACGGTTTGGACTGCGCGTTGCGGAAGAGAACCTCGCGGATGCCGGTCCAGGTGACGTTTTGGCAGTCGTAGACGACCATATGCAGGCCGACCTTGGGTTTGGGCTTCACGGCGTTGCTCTGGGAGCGGTTGCTGACCATGAAAGCCGCCTCGGCGAGGACGAGGTCGCTGATGCGGGTGTTGTCGAGGTCGATGGCCCGGAGGCTGACGCAGTTCTTGACAATGGGGAGGACGCCGCTGTCGCCGAGGTTCTCGCAGTAGCTGATGGAGAGGTGCTCCAGCCACGGCGCGCAGGGGGCCTTGGCCAGGTGTTCTGAGAAGAGGGCGTTGGTCAGGTCGGAGAGGTCTTCGAGCTCGACGTGCGTGAGG